AATTGGACAGACTTGCTAAGAAACTCGATGAGACGACACGGGCGCGTCGTCGTACGACTTAACCCGGTCGCAATATTTCTAATCTCAAAACTTCATTGTGAAGTCCTCTCGTATCAACCTTCTACAAAGTTACATAACCCGTAATTGGGAACACCATAATCCGCAGCGCGTGTGTAAAGCAGGGTCCCTGCAGGAGTGCACTTATGGAATCATTGGGTAAGTCCCTTTTATCATTATTTAGAGGTTGCGCCGCAAAGTAAATACAGTCCACTACCAGCTAAGACATTACGTATTAGCTACCCGCAAAACAGCATTTATAACTCCCTAGGGATTACTTATTACCTTTATGCTTTTATAAATTTGATTTTATTGATTTGATTGACTTTAGTCAAAAATTGAAGGTTAATGGTATTAGGACTTCATCATTTATACTTAGGTAAATTTCATCATGCAGATTGTAAATTGAATGTTTTAGAATTTCAATCTTATTATACTTATATTAAGTTTTGCTTTTAGAAAGCTGCTTAATCATTTTTTTTTTTTTTTAACTTGGATACTAGACAATAATTTTCTTTGAACCAAAAAAAAAAAGTTCACCATCTTGTCACAAATTTTTAATGACATTTAATTAATAAATAATTGTGTTTAGAATTCCAAAGCTTGTGTTTTTATTGAATAGGTTGAATGTCAGATAGCTATTGGATTTTGAATATAATTTTTTTTTTCAAATTTTTTTTTTTGAATTTATCTTTTTAAACAATGACTAATTGTTGGAATAGTGCCTAGTTTGGTTATTCCTTGGTAATCAAAATCATTTTTACAAACTAGTGGCGCCCTCTCTCTACTGTACCAACACCAAGGACTACCCCAAGCTAAACAACCACTGAGCAATAGTCGAGCACAAATTATGAACATTCTTTTGTTTCGACAAAGTAGCGTTACAATCTCTGAGTTACGTTTTGTTTATGAAGACCAGTGAGTAGTGACTATCTGCTGGTGACAGTATTTTGAATATGTCTCTATCAAACTCTTCTAAACGGTTCTAGAACTGCATCTGATTTAAACCAAAACCAAGCTCATTCGATATCGATCGAGAGAAAATATTTCTTTTTTTTTGTTCTATTGAAGTTTGCTGCTTCATAGCAGTTTTGTTTATGACATTTTTGCCGACAAGAATTTTCCGTTCAAGATAATAAAATTGAAAAAGTTAATATCGTGTCGTCTGAAAGTTCAATCCAAATGAAATTTCATGAAAATATTTTTGATTTTCCACGGGATTTAACGCAATTAATTTCATGGTCATTGAACGGCTTAAAAATGTCAGCCAGTTTATTTGCCGAGAAATTGTTACTTAATTACTCAAAAGAAAAAAATCGACGCCGCGAGAGGAAAATTAATTGTGTCCTTGATAAGTCATTGTGAATTTAGCGTCTATGTGTTTTCGATTAAACTTGAGCTTTGTTCAGATTTATTATGATAGATGTATCCTGTCTGGGCTATTTTGTTAGTTAAATACAAATAATCTGCTTATGGAAATTATGACAGCAGATTGATTTTCTTCTACTATTAAAACAATCACGAAAGACAGAAGTAGAAAACAAATAATATTTTAAATAAATTGCGAACGATGTTTTGAAGCACCTGACACAAGAAAACCGGCACGCTCTGTCTAAACCCTTGTAATATTTACAGAGTCGAGAGTCTAGTCTAGTAGGTACTACACTGTTAGGATTTCATTGTTTGTTCAGGTGTTTGTCTGTCACTTGGTGTAGGAGCACTTTTAACATTTTCCTATAGGGTTGAAAGTGATATAGCGAATGAATTTAGAAAATCGTAGACTAGGAATTTTAGAATTTTGAGGAGTGACACTCGTTTTGATGGAGACGGAAATATATTGAGGAATATAGGTATCTAATATTTTAACATAATCAAATAAGATATAGCCGTTACCAAAATTTTGGAGAGCCAAAATGCTCATGTCATCTCTATCTACGTGTTCCAGAATTAGTTAATTCAAGGTTGTGAAAAACAATGGCACATGACTCAGATTCTAACAATCCTTTAATTGCCTGACATAAGTACCTAAAAGAATAAGATAATGAAAATAACTGTAAATTCTTTCCGTGACCTCAGTGTATTAGTATATTACATTACGAGTGTTGAAAGTGACAAATTTCACACAGGTGTTTTCTCTTGCGAGGCATTAGCCTGTAACGTGCTACCGGGTATTGGAGCATATTAATCAATAAATAAAGAAAACCAATTATGTTTTCAATCAAACTTAACTTTATTAATTAATAATCACTTAAAAAATGATGGATAGGTTACGTGTTAAAAATCCTTAAATTCAAGTGAATGATTTTTACTGAATTAATGGTTGTTTCTTAATTATCAATCCTAAAAGCTTTGGGTATAGTTTGACCAAACGTTCTATATGTCTAATAAATAAGTTATAATATGAAATAAATTTGCACTGACACCTTCTTAACTGGGAAAATTACTAATGATTGATATCTGACTTTACTTCAAAAATAATGAATTAATTGTTGATTTAAATGAAATTCGCCAGGTGACGAAACTCACTAGGCTCTTAGTTATTTACAGCTCAACAACCTTGATTGGTTATACTCGAACATAAATCTTAACAGAGGTACTTATCTTTATTCTACAGTGTGCTGATAGACGTTTGGGTTACTTCAGGTTAGTAGAACCAACAATCTCCCGCAGAACCGTTGAACAGAGGTAAACGGGGTGAAATCCCGAGATAGTGGAGTTACCGGCGACTACCTCTAATTTGCTGCTCGCTCAGTCGAGATGAGTGGTGTGATGGTTGAAAATCAGGTCCACGCAACTTGCGTCCTCCAAGTTTAGTTCCAGACAAGAAACGTTCCAAATCAGTACAATCCTGAACCCTTGAGTGAAGCCGTGTTTCAAAGCTAAAAAGAAATCCCAATTGAAACTTGGATTTGACCACCATCGAAGTCTTCATCTTCTGACTTGACATGAAACCCGTTTACTTTTTTCTATTCCATATATTTCGGTAAATAATATATCCTGGGCAACAATATATATTTCCAATGCAAAAGTAATTATTTACCTGTTGTTCTGCTATTTTATTTCGGTTCCAAGTCACACGTTCATGTCGATGTTGGCGGATTTATTTTTGAATGTTTCGTTACAGCAATCGGATTCAAATGGCCATGACGTTTTAGGGTGCTTACCCTTCTCATCCGAAATCAATCACTTTCCCGCCACTTGAGCTTATCATCTTTCACTCTTGTATAGACATCTGCCACAATTAGGTTTCTGCTTTTTATTTTCTAGTCTCGCACATTTGAAGGAGTTTGTAGTACAGGTAGCGTGATGTTTTAGGTTTCGAGATTTATTGAACCTTCCGCCACCTACACACCTACAAATGTCGCACTAGGTTCTTAATTTATTAGATGGTAGGTTCCATAGCCCCACCATTTCATTAGGGATTTTGTTTCCAAAAAATCGATCATCAATTGAACAACAAAATTCTATTTACCCTGAATATCTTCCTTAGTCCCACCAAACTGCAGAGCTCGAACACGTAGACCCGAACTGTGAGTCAATAATATCACTGTTATGCGGTTTTAAGTTCCTGTAGTTAAAAATGCCTCTACTGACTCCTGCCAAAGTCTCAAGTTTATAAGAAATTGGGCCAGCTAACCTTTTAATTCTAAACGGGCCTTCATATAGCAGAAATAATTTCTCTATCTCTTTATTTTCCAGTGATGAAATATTATTTGATTTCAGCCACACTAACTGTCTTTCCTTATACCCAGTGAAATTTACGTTCCTTTTTTGATCCAGTCTTCTTTCATTAGCTCTTTTTACAATGGTTTCTTTTGCAGTTTTCAAAGTCAGTAAACTATTGTTTGGTTCATCCTCTGAAAATCCTATAATCTTGTGAATTATTTGTTCTGGACACTTTACCAATCTTTCGAATACATCCTCCAAGTGCTGTAAATGTTCTTCTCCTGACTTTAAAAATATCAGAATGTCATCCACAAATGTTGTCGAAAAATGTCTACGATCTCCCAGAACGATATTCACTCAGCTTTTCATCCCTGCAACCGCGGTGGATAGCCCAAAAGGCATTCTCAAAAATTCATAAACTCGACCTTCAAACTTAAACCCACAATACTTCGTATCTTCTGGGTACAGAGCTATTTGCCAATAACTCCTAGTAAAATCCAATGTTGAAAAGCAAAGTGAGGGGCTTCTTTGATAAAGTATTTCTTCTGCTGGCAGCGGGCATTCGTGATCCATCAAAATCCATTTATTCGAATTTTGAGCCTCCAAACAAATTCTTACGCTTCCATCCTTGTTTACTACTGCCACAATGGGATTAATATATGGTGTATCAGACCTTCTGACAGTTTTTTCTTCGAACATTTCATCTATATTTTTCTGCATCTCGATGTGCATATGGTATTGGGTGAGACCTCGATTTAAATGGTATATTATCTTTTAAAGTTATCCCATGCATATTTGCCGTTGATAGAATATACATTTTTGTACTGGTCCACTAGTTTTTGACATTCCACTGGCATGCTCGAAGATTCTTCAGATTCTAGCTTGATGGTTATTACTTCATTTTTCTTTACTGTCGATCTGTTGTAATGGTATATCTTTTTTCTCAATTAATAATTTCTCCTTGTCAAAATCCAAAATTGCTTTATTAGCAAACATACAGTCCATGCCCAATCTACAAACGAACACACTATGGGAAATTCTTTGTTTTCAAACTTCATTGTGACAAAAGTTTGTTCTTTTACTTCTGCTATGACTCCTATTACTGAGATATTTGTAACTGGTGAAGCCAATACAGATTGCTTTTGGCTTTTTATTTCATCATAAAATACCTTTGATAAACAACTTATTTGACAACCAGAGTCAATCAGAATATCACATTGAAGACCCTCAATTTCTGCCTCAATTGTTGGTAAAATATCTGGTTTCTTATCTGCATGTTATTCGTTTTCATAGAATACTGTGTTGCAGTGGATTTCATTCTCAGAACCTTCAATGTCCAGATATTCCTTTTCCTGAGCCTTTGTTATAGGATGATTTTGCTTCCGAATGAGTCTTTCATGATCCTTTTCCTCACAGTTTGGTTCTTTTTCTAGGTCTACTTCTTCTGTTCTTACATTATACTCTCTAGTTTAATCTGGTAGGCTTTGTTCATAATTCATTTGATTTATTTTCCTGTTTTGCCAATCCTCTTGTTACAAATAAACCTTGTTATTTGAACTTTAAGATAAGAGAACCTAGGGTCGTGAAATTCAAAAAATTATAATAACGTGTAGCCCCTTTATGTGCAAATGAAACCACTTAAAATCCAACAAACATTTATTTCATTTTGTTTACAATGTAAGTAACAATCAATGTTACTTTCTTTAAAATTTGACAGTTGACAGCTTGGTTGTTCCGGTGAATCTGAAACAATGTACCTTTCCAATCCGGAGCCCTTCAATGGATGTTGGGGTCTCACTTTTGTGAACTGGAGCTCTTCGGGTTGCTTCCTATATCCAGGAAAGAGGATAGATTGACGTCACTCCAGCTGATCCAGACTCCAAACAGTGATCTTTATGTCGAGTAGGTACCCAGAAAAGATAAAGGTAGTATCAGGTTCACCAAGATTTGGAATATTAAATCCATGAATTTTGTCAAAAAGTGAGTATCTTGCAAAGAAAATTTAAATTGAAATTTAATATAAAACTATTTTTATGCAGACACTTCTTTCCTACAGAATCAGGTAAGTATAAGCGACTATTGTAAATTGGAGAAATATTTTAATTAAAGAAAAATACAATTGAATAATTGAAAAACAATCATAAAAATAGATAATAACAGCAAGATTAAATTAAAATGCTCGTTACAAGTTGAGCAGAGTGTTGCTTTTCTGGCAGTAGCACTAACAGGCAAGAATAAGAACAAAATCAGAAAATAAAAATAAGAAATTAAATCTCTAGATTCTCCCCCAGACAAAATTTTCCTTTTAAGTTAAGGTAGCCACCATAGGTACTACAAGATAAACCTGAGGGTGAAATCAATCAAATCCAGAACATGTCGAAATTCTTGAGATGTTTTAATTAAAACTTTTTAAATGAATTTTTGACCTGTCTAGATTTCTATTTTAGAAAATTACACCCTTTTTCAACACTCTTCTCTTCGAGAAGATAATAATTGACAGAGTCAAACAGAAAATGGCTATACAGGCCTCTGCCTGGATTCAATAAAGAGTTGATAGGGATGGACACACAAATTTGGTTTTCACCGACTCTATTTAGAGCAAATGGTCCAATAATCCCACACTAACAATTGATTCAGAAAACCGGAGCAGCAGTACCTACCTATCTATTAGCCCAAAAATCTGAATTGACTTACCTCAAAAAACGTGGAACCACATCACACAGAATTGAGGCCCACAATTAGATTTTAAAAAAATTAAAATATACTCTTTATATTTCAAAAATAGATAAGATGAGATTTATCAGGTAAAAATTCAACAATGATATGGTAGTATGCACTGATGACAAAATAAATTGCAAAATTATAAGGGAGGATACAAAAATGTGAAGGAAAAATTATTAGAAAATAAAAATGACTCGCCTGCTAGAGTACTGCCAGAGAAAGAGAACGTTTTAGAAACCAAACCCTATAGGAAAACAATCCTGTGTTGTTTTTTTACCCTTAACTGCGTATTAACCAGATCAACCAATCAGAAAACTACACTCAAAAGACCATATTCACTTCACAATGAAAAATCACGTGGAATAAAAGAGAATAGATGAAAATCCACCAGAATTATTTTACTTGTTTACATATTATAATAATTTAAATTAAGATTATGTTCAAAACAAAAAACCGCTAATTATTTAGGTCATTAGGCCAAAAATAATTATTTCAGAATCAGAAGTTAGAGAAAAACAGAAATATATCCATTTGCTAAAAGTGAGATAAATATAATTTCTTTAAATGCAAAAACAAATGACTGTCAAATGAGAAATGATAAAAATAGCTAAGGAAAACTATCACAGTTTTAAAAAAAAGAACCAATTAAATTTTCTTTTCATACTTTCAAATTACTTAAATTAGGAATTATTATTTTGCTGATTCAGAAATGGCAAAAATACAACTTTATAATGAAAATGAGAAGAGATGGAACATGTTACGTAAATGATAAATTTATCATAACACTCTATTTCTATTAGGTGTTCTTGAAGTATCTGGCTCTCTGTTCTGAAACTGTCTAGGCATTGTTTTTCTATCTCCTATCCAATTTCTTCTATCTTCAAATCTGTGTCTGTTGTGATTTTGTGAATAACCGTTCTGCTATCTTGGTACGCTAAACCTATGACTGTTGAATTCTTGTCTTCTCACACCATTTCCAGATCCATGCTCTTACCTCCTAAGCATATGCCTACCACTCTCTGACCTATTAGACGAACCAAATTGTATAGCCGAATAATATCTTCCTTGACTTGATGACTTTTTTTGGTTTCTTACTCCTAGCAGATCAAATCGTTCCAATATAGCATATACAACTTCGGCTGCTGTACTGTTTAGGCTAAATAAATTCCTAGAAATGTCAATTGGAAAATGATCGATCACTAAGTCAACTAGTTCTTCATGGCGTAAGTGGGCGATATAAATATTTTGCAGTTTTCAGCATTTTCAAAAAGTAGGTTGACACTTTAGAGCTGTCACCTGTCTTGTGATATTTGCCCTTATATAAATGTTGGACTATTTCCCGATGTCTCTCTCTACTCTAATATTGGCTCAATAACTTGGTCCGAAATTCCTGAAACTCCTCTTCATCATCGCAAAATATATCAGCTCATAATTTTGCTTCACCTCTTAAACTTCTTCGTGCCCTTCCCATTTTTTGCTCTTCTGTGACCTTTTGATCATCCAACCATCATTCGATTTTTTACAGAAACTCTATTGGACTTATATTACTAGTTCCATTGAATGTTGGCATACTTGTTGCATGCTGAGGTCGCATCCATCTTACCGTTCCCTGTTCAGTTCTGAGATTTCTGTCAGATCTACTTTAAAGATCTTGTCTTGGGGCTTCGAACCTTCCACCAGATGCATTGCGTTCTTGATTATGGGGCATATCCTTTTTTTTTAATAGCACCTGTTCTTCCGATGTCGTCCCAGTTACATATTGGTGTTCGATTATTCACATAATTTTCAAAGTTTTCAAGGGGCTCCATCAGCCTTTCACCACAATTGTCGCCAATGCCCATTGAAAAATCTCTATTTTCCGGTATAAGATCAGCTTCAAAAGAATCAACACCATCTCCCTTCTGGAACAAAACTTTTTCCGCTAGTTTCCTCTTTTCTCTTTCTTATTATAGCACTCTTCTAATATTCTTTCTTTTCCTTTTCCATATTCCTTTTGTCACCTTCCAAAGTCAGTCTGACATCATGATATGATGATATTTAATTCTTTCTCAGTTACTTTCAGGTGTCAGAATGAAAACTCTATAACATGTTATTCTACGCTGAGACGCTCCCCTTATGATTATAATACAGCATGATAGGAGTAATTCAAAATTCTAGCTGCTGAACTTATAGGCTTAAGATACCAGTAGGTTTGTGAAGTTCCATCATCAAACCTAGAAATATAGAATTCACAAATGAGAGCTGTGTCACAGCAGCCTGATGAGTAGTATCCACATCACCAAACCCGCCTGCGCATAGTCATGAATCAGCTGATACATTGGGGCAGTTCAGACAGTTGGATGCCAGGCTTGGAGCGAGCGTTAGTGTACTATTCTAATATTATACACTCACCGGCACAAAATTCCTCCACCCTGGAATTTCGGCCAAGTTTGATGTTTTATAACTTTTTTATTTATTATCCGATTCCCGTGATTTTTTTATCAGTTTGTAGATCCATTTATTGAGTTTTTCTCTAATTAATTCATAAAGTAACATTTTTCGATTACACTATATTATACAGGAGTAAAGCAAACTGTTGTTTTTTGTCGTAAGTTCAAAATACCCTGTAGGAAAATTGGGGTGTATAATTTTATTTATATACTGTTCCTTGTTATCTTTGACGAATTCTATACATTTCGTTTTTTGATTCATTCCATAATCTCGTTCCTGCTGCGAGCTGCAAATTTTGTACTAAAACGGTGTTATTTTTAGAAAATGTTTGTCAAGCTTTCGATTAAAAACTATCGACGTTGGCTAATGCGATTATTGTGACAGAATGTTCACAGACAAGAAATTTTACTAGGCGGCAAGGCTCTGGCAGAAGGAGAATGACCACTGCAGCTGATAATCGCTTTGTCATTGCTAGTTTTTCAACAGATCGAAGATCTACTGCTGTGGGTCTTAAAAATGACTTGCAAATGATTTGTCGAGTAGGCACATGTGAGTAAAAGAACAATACGTAGAAGATTGGCAAAAGCTGGGCTCCATTCACGAAGGCCATCATTATGTCTACAATTACTTCCTCGGCATCGACAACACCAACTGAGGTTTGCGCGTGGGGCAACGTTCTATTCACAGATGAATCCAGGGTTTGTCGCCGGATGGTCGTGAGCGGGTATACAGACGTAGAAATTAAAGATATGCTGACTACACCATATAAGAACGGATCATATCATGGTGGTTCAGTTATGATTTGGGAGGGTTTTCTACCGAAGCACGCACCGATCTTGTATCCTCCAAGAAGTTGTTGTTGTTTCATCTGCTCCTTTCATTAGGAACCAATTTACATTAATGCAAGATAATGCTAAACCTCACGTTTAACATGTATTGAGCGAATATCTGGATGAAGTTATGGAATTGCAATACTGAAATGGCCCGCATATAGCCCGGATGTCAATCGAACATATTTGGGATTAACGTAGAAGGGCCGTTCGTCGTCGTCCTGTACAACCACAAACCTTGCAAGACTTACGACTGGCGCTGACCGAAGATTACACGAGGTTATTCTTCAAGAAAGAATAAGTAACCTTAATCATACACGTTATTAAAATTGTTTTTGTTGGCCGCGGTAATGACATTCGAAATCTCCTAGTTCTGTCACAGGCATCAAACAATTAGAAGGAACACAGAGAGAGAGATGATATGGTCACGGAGGAAGTCACGCCCCTTGGGCAACGGGGGAAATATTTTCCGTGGTAGCGCGTTACCAGTTAGTTTTATCAGTATTCGTGACGTTAAATGTCGTCGGAAGACGGTTTAACCAGTGTTCACCACTGATATTTCCTCCGTTAGCCCGGTTCGAGGTCATAGAAAAGCAAATGGCATCCCACTTTCTGTGTTCCATCTGATTGTTATTCTGTGGTTCTGTGGTAATTGGTTGATTTTCTAAAATCCTTTTTGGAAGAGAAGAAAAAACCTCACATCAGAATTGGCTGAAATTTGGCATAAACCTTCTTTGAGCGATTATCTACAATCCGAATATTTTAGCTTTTCGATATTTTGCTTTTTTCACTAAATGAAAAGGTGCATATCTCGTTGCCTATTGTCCAGGATTTAGGTCTTTATGGATTATTTCTAAGAACTTTCTTGAGGAATAGCCTCCTATTCTTCGGTCAGCGCCAGTCGTGAATTTTGCAAGGTTTGCGGTTGCACAGGATGACGACGAACGTTCCTTCAAAGAGTTCTAAGTTGATCCCAAAGATGTTCGATTAAGTTGAGATCCGGACTACATGGGGGCCATTCCAATCTTGCAATTCCAACTTCATCCAGATATTCGTTCACTACATGTGAAACGTGAGGTTAGGCATTATCATGCATCATGCATTGTAAATTGGCTCCCAATGAAAGGAGCAAATGAAACAACTTATTGGAGGATTTTTTCAATGTAACGGTGGGCGGTTAGAGCTTCATTTTCACACCAAATACATGATCGATGCGTGCTTCGGTAGAAATACCCGCTCAAATTATGACTGAACCGCCATGATATGAGATATGCATTCTGATATGGAGTCAGCATATCCTTCATTCCCACGTCTATATCCATACCCGCTCACGACCATCCGGCGACCTTGAACAAACCCTGGATTCGTCTGTGAATAGTACGTTTCCCCACTGTTCTAGAGTCCAGTGAGAATGCAATCTTGCAAACCTCAGTGGGTTTTGTCGATGCCGAGGAAGTAATTGTAGACATATTGATGGCCTCCATAAATGAAGCTCAGCTTATATCAATCTTCGTATCGTTCTTTCACTTACATCAGACGCATCGTTTGCAAGTCATTTTTTACACATACAGCAGTAGATTTTCGATTCCTTGACGAACTAACAATGACAAAGCGATCATCAGCTGCAGTGGTCATTCTTCTTCTGCCAGAGCCTTGCCGCCTAGTAAAATTTCTCTTCTGCAAATATTCTGTCACAATAAACGCGTTAGCCAACGTCGATAGTTTTTAATCGAAAGCTTGACAAACATTTTCAAAAAATAACACCGTTTTAGTAAAAAATTTGCAACTCGCAGCAGGAACGAGATTATGGAATGAATCAAAAAACGAAATGTTTAGAATACATCAAAGATAACAAGGAACAGTATATAAATAAAATTATACACCCCAATTTTCCTACAGGGTGTTTTGAAGTTACGACCAAAAACAACAGTTTGCTTTACTCCTGTATAATATAGTGTAATCGAAAAATGTTATTTTATGAATTAATTAGAGAAAGACACAATAAACGGATCTACAAACTGATAACAAAATCACGGAAATCGGATAATAAATAAAAAAGTTATAAAACATCAAACTTGGCCGAAATTGAAGGGTGGCGGAATTTTGTGCCGGTGAGTGTATATTATCGTATTTTGTTATATACCAAACGGATCAGTTTGGGGTAAAGTTTGGTGAAAACCACCTTGTGCCTTATTTACCACAAGCTTTATATTGGAACGTGAGTTGAACTTATTGCCAAGATTGGCTATTCAGATGTGGAATTGGGCAAAATAATCTGTTTGAGGCCAGGAAAGTTATCTTGAAGGCATTTTATAGTCCATGCTTGCCCAGATCATAATGTTCTATTGTTTCAATATACCCCCAGTCAACTTTTTTGAGAGTGATTTCATAAAGAATTAAACTTGGCAAGTTCCTAATACAAGTTTTTTTTTTTTTTTTTTCTAATATGGACATGTCTTTAAAATTATTATGCAACATGTTGAGAAAAGGCTAACCACTAAATAAAAACACTAATCCATAAACAAAGTGCATTACAATGCGTAACAAAAGATAAACCGACCGAAAATGCCGTTTAACGAGCCTCTGCAAATCTTCTTGTCCATGACAACCGCAATTCCGCCCTCGGAGTATGGTTTTATTTACTAAGGAAGCCGCAAACAAATATTTAGTAACTCTGGGATATGCAGGGAGAGGCAAACTGCTATAACGGATCACAATAGTGTTTGTTCATGTGTTTATTTCTCATGTAATTTATACAAACTTTACGGAAACTGGTGGTTAGAAAATCTTAATCATGTAAATAAGTGGGCAATGAAGTGTGAGAAACTAGAATATAAAATACTTATATAAAGACATTTTTATTATTATCCAAATGAAATTTTATTATTGTTACAAGTCTTTGAAGTAA